AGGACGTTCCAGCTCCCCCGTCCCAAGCCCCCCACCGCGTCATGGCGAGGGGCGCAGGTTCCCGCATGGTGCCCGTGCCCTGCCCCGTGTGTCACGTTCACCTCTAATTGTCAGCAATAACGCGCGCGTCCCTGGGCAGCACTGCCTGTGCCAGTGTCTCTCCCGTTGTAGAGTTCTAAAGTATCCTAGATTTTAATGAGATTTATATTCCTGACCCTCTGTCCCGCTGTGCACTTCTTTGGGGACCCTGGGGGAGGGGGCTGGAGAGCAGGGTACCACGTCCCATGGGTGCAGCCCTTTCCCCCTTGGATGCCCAGCAGGCTGGGCGCTGGGGAACGCTCCCTTGCCCCATTCACCCCTACAAATCCAGATGGACAACATCAGGACATGGATGTGCTGGAGCAGGGCCAGAGGAGGGCCACGAAGATGATCCGAGGGCTGGAGTACCTCTCCTATGAGGACAGGCTGAGGGAGTTGGGGCTGTTCAGCCTGGAGAAGAGAAGGCTCCAGGGTGACCTTACAGCAGCCTTCCAGTACCTGAAGGGGCTTACACGAAGGATGGAGAGGGACTTTCACAAGGGTGTGTAGTGACAGGACAAGGGGGGATGGCTGTGAACTAAAAGAGGGCAGACTTAGATTAGATTTTAGGAAGAAATTCTTCACCATGAGGGTGGTGAAACACTGGCCCAGGTTGCCCAGAGCAGCTGTGGCTGCCCCCTCCCTGGCAGTGTTCAAGGCCAGGCTGGATGGAGCTCTGAGCAACCTGGTTTGGTGGAAGATGTCCCTGCTCATGGCAGGGGGGTTGGAACTAGATGATCTTTAAGGTCCCTTCCAACCCAAACCATTCTAGGATTCTATGGAGCTACAGCAAACAACAAGGGGCATTGTCCCCACAGTGACGAGGGGCGGCAAGCGTCCCACAGCACAGTGAGGGCAGCCGGCTTTGCCCCACGCGTGCCCTGGGCACCTCGCCCTAGCTGGGGCTGGGCACCTTGCAGGGCAGGAGCCCCCCCCGTGCTGCTGGGCAAGCTGGGGGTGCTCTGAGGGTGGGTGGG